CTGAGTACAGAACTGTCTTTTGTACAGCTTAAATGTGGCAGGGCTTATCCTGATCTGTGGTGGCAAGGAGTTAAACACTCTCAGCTGTGTGTGATGGGACATGAAACTGTCCCTGACAATTTAACCCAGGGCACATGGAGTTTTAATTCACTTCAAACATGCCCCAGAGATGCTGTTTTCCCACCCGCATTTGGGGGTTTATTGCATGCAACTCTCATTCCCATAATCTTATTCTTAGGACAGCTGAATTCCTAAACCTACAATATACTTAAATACTTAACCTTTGTTATAAGCAACATGTGGTCTGGAACTTGGCAAAACAAATGTCACATGACTGTTTTCTTTTATATCATAACAATGTTATGATTCTATTTCCATCTAGTTTCCTGCAATCAAATCAAAGGAAATGCAGTTTGATAGTACCTAATGTGCTTTACTTTAGCATTCAAATTACCTAAGGAAATTTCCTGTTGCAGTAGAGTATTTCTAATGGCAAATGTATGACCTTTGTGGAATTGGCTGTAAACAAGTGAAGTTCAGGTTGCTGCAATGTGAAAACTGTTTTCCATATAGAGATATATATATATATATAAAACATAGGTGGGAGAGATTAGATGACAAGAGCCAGTTATCCTGCCATGTAGTAACTTTCCATTACTCCATTCCGGTTTGGCCAATGTAGTCCCTACCTAAAAGAATAAATGGACACAAATCAGACGTCAAGAATTATAACATTCAAAAACCAGTTGGAGAACACTTCAGTCTCCCTGGCCACTCGATTACAGACCTAAAAATCTCAATATTACAACAAAAAAAACTTCAAAAACAGACTCCAACAAGAAACTGCTGAATTGGAATTAATTTGCAAATTGGACACCATTAAATTAGGCGTGAACAAAGACTGGGAGTGGATGGGCCATTACACAAAGTAAAACTATTTCCCCATGCTTATTCTCCCCCCCCTCCCCCCAGTTCCTCATATCTCCTTGTCAATTGCTGGAAATGGGCCATTTTCATTACCACTACAAACAGTTCCCCCCCCCCTCCTGCTGATAAAAGCTCAACTGATTACTCTCCTTGTAGTGTGTATAGTAACACCCACTGTTTCATGTTCTCTGTGTGTGTATATATATCTTCCTATTGTGTTTTCCACTACATGCATCCGATGAAGTAGGCTGTAGCCCACGAAAGCTTATGCTCAAATAAATTTGTTAGTCTCTAAGATGCCACAAGTACTCCTGTTCTTTTTGTGGATACAGACTAACACGGCTGCTACTCTGAAACTCTGTAAAATGTAATTCATATCATGACATTGTTCACAGTGTGAATCAAGGAAGGTACCATATTTTTATGTCTTCAGCTGTTAAATGTAGTCTTTCTTATTGTGGTTCTACTTACATTTCTTAGTATCTAGGTTTTTAGAACTATACTATTTATGAGAACTGGAAAGGGGGAAAAATAGACTTTTTTTATTCCCCCTTTGAAACAAAACTTATTTTCAAGTCTCTAGGAAAATGCATTTAATATGGCTGTGAGTCCCATGCATTTGAGTTGATGACTGTATTGGAAATAATGCTCTTTCTAGTTACATTTTATAAACACTCTACCCAGTCATTTGGAACACATCTATGGTTCCTAAAGATGTTTGCTAACCAACTAAAAACAAACATTAACCAGAGCCAAAGGGTCTGAATAAAACACTGTTGTTTTTCCTTTCTAGAAATGTGAAGCAGGAGATTTTTTCAAGGGAAAAATATGTCATGTTTGTGAACAGAAATTATAATAACAGTAACAGAAAAATAGCTGAGACTGGGAAAACACAGAGCTATTTGGAGATATCCCCCCCTTTGTGTTCTTCCCCATCCCAGAAATATTAGCATTCATTAAATGAGGAAAAAAGATATGATTCAGGTGGAAGTAAAACTACAAATTATATTTAAAAATTTAAATGAGTAGCAGGGATCAACAGACAAAAAAGGAAATAAGGGGAAAAAATGGAATAAGCATGAAGGAAAACTGTAAAAGGTTTGAGAGAAAACAGAGAGAGGCTCAGTACCTCTAGCTGGAGTAATAGTTACCCAGAAAAAAATAATGTGCTTCTGAGAAATGAAATAATGTTGTAAGATCGTGGTTGTTGATGTTTGTTTCCTTGATCTTAAGAAAAGTAATAATCCAAGTTCTCTTTGTTTGGGAGGGAACAGTGTTCACTACTTGAATATTTTAATATAACCTAATTCAAGTGGAGTTTATTTAGCACAGTGCTGAATCCACATCCGAGGTTTCCTTGGCCATCATCTGCTATCTAAGTGCTATAAACTTGTTCACAGAGTCATACTAGAAACAAAACTTATATTTCAAGCAAAGGTGGTAATGTTTTTTGGCCACTGTCAATGGGGTAGAAAAACATGAGTAAAGTTTTCAAAAGCTCATAAGACTCATTGTCAAAAGTGACCAGCATTTAGGCTTCTATGTCATGTAGGTATTTTTTGAAAATTTCACCCCATGTCTGCATAATGCAAACAACTGTAGTTATAATAACTCTGCCTTAAACCACAATCACATTTAAATGTTGTTTAAATAGGTTTGTTAATAGGCATGGTCTGGCCAGGATGGCTATTATAAATTATATGTACTGCAGTAAGGTCTCCACGCAGGGATCAGTGCCCCATTATTCTAGCCACTGTACACACCTGTGTGCACGTGCACCCTCACTCTCAGCAGACAGCCCCTGCCCCAAAGAGCATGATGAACCCAAACCATGTTGTAACCATTTAGGCCACAACCATATTTAAACTGCTTGAGTACAGTGATTAAATGAAGTTGTTTGCCGTGTGTAGATGGGATTAAAGAGCAGCCTGGAATGAGAAATCCATTAAGGGAGGTGCGAACTAGGGAATCTGAAATAGAATAGGTCCAAGATTCACAGATGAGGAAGTTGTGGCAAAGTATAGCCTGTTAGAAACACTTCCAGCTTCATTTGGAAATCCACTGTTGGTTAATGCAGGTGCTCCTAATAGGAAATACTACATAATGAGAGGCACATTCTGTACTAGCTGTAACTTCTGGATGGTCTCCATGTGTAAACCCAGGTAGAGCACACTAGGCATCCACCTTGATGTGACAAAGGCAAGTGTGAGGATGGCATAAGTCCTGCACTTCTAAGGGTCCAGTCCCCACCTCCATCTTACTTGTCATCCCTCCTCCCATGCACACACACATGCACCGCTGATCTGTTAGCAAAAGCATCACCCCCAATTCCTTGTCTATGCGTCCATCTGACACTGGTGCTGGATGGCTGCTGCATATATAGAATTCCCTAAATACCTTCCCATCATCACCCCCAATTTGGGATGTTGAGCTTCAGAACACTTCTTGTTTCTGAGGGAGTGAGTTGTCCTGAAGCTTCAAAAAAGTGAGATATGGAGGCTGGAGGTCACCACAGCTGAAATGGAGATCATGAGGCAACTACAGAAAAATAAACTGCAAACCCCTTTATTAGAGCAACAGCCAATACAGTTAACAGGAGGCTGGGATGCTCTCTCCAGGGGAATTATACCATTCCAGGATAGAACAAGATGGTGATATCGTCAACATTTTTGTAAGGAGTATTGTCAGCATGGGCAAGCCTGGTTTTGTGGGATTAGATTAGGAGTAATTGTACATTGAGATTTTATGTCATGTGATGGTGGGTGCTGCTACGAAAGTGATGGTTACTGTGTCTTAGGGTATGTCTACGTTAGAGCTACTGCAGTGGCACAGCTGCGGTGCTGCAATGCTGTAGTGCAGGGGTCGGCAACATTTGTCACGCGGCTCACCAGGGTAAGCACCCTGGTGGGCCGGGCCAGTTTATTTACCTGCTGACGCAGCAGGTTCGGCTGATCGTGGCCCCCACTGGCCGCGGTTAGCCGTCCCGGGCCAATGGGGGCGGCGGGAAGCCGCAGCCAGCACATCCCTCGCCCGCGCCACTTCCCGCTGCCCCCATTGGCCCGGGACGGTGAACCGCGGCTAGTGGGGGCCGCGATCGGCCAAACCTGCCGCGTCAGCAGGTAAATAAACTGGCCCGGCCCGCCAGGGTGCTTACCCTGGCGAGCCGCGTGCCAAACGTTGCCGACCCCTGCTGTAGTGTAAACACTTCTTACATTGACAGGTTTTCTCCATTAATGTAGTTAATCCACCTCTCTGAGAGGTGATAACTAGGTTGACAGAAGAATCCCTCCCTTGACCTACCTGTGTCTACACCAGGGGTTAGGTCAACCTAACTCTGTCACCCCGAAGGTGAAATTTTTCATAGCCCTGAGCAACAAAGCTAGGTTGATCTAATTTTCAAATGTAGACCAGGCCTTTGTGGCTGACCTATTAAAGTTGCAGAGAGAATAGGAGAGGTCCAAGAAGAAAAGGTATGTATGAGAAAATGGAGATGCTCACTGTTGAGATGTGGGGAGGGAAAAGATGAGAACCCTTTATTCAGGTAACTTTTAACACCCATGCACTAACAGGTATAATCCAGCACTAGAAGTGTGTGGTTCAGGGGCAGCTGTGATTACAGCAGAAGGAATACACTTGAAGATTAATTCAAGTTCTCCACCTGTGCCCTATTGAAAATAGCAGATTTTGAAGGCAAATGTGCAGATGCATGTTTAAAAGCTTATTATTGCCCTGGTTATATAATAAGACCAAGCTCTTCTGTCACACTTCTCATCAGTAGCTCTCTGAGCTGTTTACGAATGAGGTCAGTATCATTATCCCCATTTTACAAGATGGGGAAACTACAGCACAGGGAGTTAAAGTTTCTTTAGGTCACCCAGTTGGCTGGTAGCTAAGCCAGGAATAGAGCCCAGGTCTCCCAAGTCCCAATCATGTCCTCTCACCAAAGAGCCTCTTTTAGCATATGGAGGTTTATAACTAAGCCTGGGAGCGCTGTTCTCTAAAATTGGCTGAAGCAAGTGTGCAATGGAAATATCTGTTGTCTGAATTGGTTTTTTTGTTTTTCCCTCTTGCAGATCATAAAGCATATGGAATCTCTGTCAAAACGGACAATCAGCATGTTACAGCAAAGGAGTTTCAGGGTACAGTATGTGCATGGGCATCACTGCATTATATATAAATATATAATATATATAACACAAGAAACTGTTTAAAGAACATTATTAAGGTTGCAAAGTCAAGCACTCAAAGGTGAGGAAATACCAGAATTAAGGTTATGTGTTCAATCTTAATTCAGCCCCATTGTGTGTATGCATTATGATACAGTGTTTAATTACATGATCACATACTATTCTGCCCAGAACCCCTGCCAGCTTCTATGCACAGGATGAAGAGTGCTCAATTAATGAGCAGCTTGCTCCTTGTTGCCCTATGTGGCCCTATGCCTTATTGACTATTCATTGTTCAAACCCTGCTCTGAAGACATAATTATAAATTTCTTCATGGTCTGTTCAGCGGCACTCATCACTATTGTATCTGAATGCTTCAAACACTAACTAATTTATTCTCTCAACACCCGGGTGACATGAGAAGTGGTTATTATCCACATTTTACAGACTGGGAACTGAGGCACAGAGAGAGGAGGGTCAAAAGTATCCACTAATTTTAGGGGCCCAAATTGAGACATACAGGACCTGATTTTTCAGAATATTTAGTATTATATAGAACTTTATATGTTCAAAGTGCAACTCCTATTGACTTGCAGTTGTTGGTGCTCAGCACTTCTGCAAATGAGTCCCCAGGGTCTCAAGTCCAGCACCCAGAAAATGAGGAACAGGCAGTTGGTGACCATCTGTGAAAAGTTTGGCTTAAGTGACTAGTCCAACATCACACAAATTGTGGCAGAGGCAGGGATAGAATCCAGTTCTCCTGGGCAGCATTCAACTGTTTTAACCATGAGACCTTTCCTTCTGTTCCTGCAGTCCCCTGCATCATCCACAACAAACCTTCCAACATCTGCTACAAATGAGGCAAGGGTCTTACAGACAATAGCTTCCTTCAGTACATGTCATTGATTCATCACCAGAGCAGGTCCATTCTGTGGACTGAATGAGTCAGGGGTCCTTTGGAAAAAAAGTCATCCTTTAATTTATATGCATAAATGGGGGGCGAATTAAGGCACCTTACTTGTGTCATTTCCTAACATTTGAGTGCTTGACTTTGCAACCTAAATGTTCTTTTAACATAGTTTGGTTTGGCTTTCTAATGTCCTAGGTCTTCAAAAAAAATAAAAAAAAAAATTCCAGTAAGGTCAGGTTAGTGGGTGACACTTATATTGGTATGTAGTTCCATGTGTTTGGGGTTTATGTTGGTCTTAATTCCATATGTTGAGTTTATTTTGTTTTTTTTATTTGTTGCATAAACTATCCCAGCTGCCCTTCTGCCTACCGATTCCTTGTTTACAAGGTTCATGTAGGATTCATGGCAGAACTGGATCTTCTGGAGGGACTTGAATAAGAGGGCAATGGTCTGCTGTAGTAGCTTGGGAAGGTGACCCATGTGTAGGGAGTCACATAAAGCATAAAGACAGCTAGGGGAGAATCGGAAGAACAGGGCAACAAGACCAGCATCATTTGACAGAGTGGAGGGAGCAAAGGAGTGGCGGGGGAGGGAGAGACAAGATTTGGTAATAGGGAAGTGCAGCATTCTATAGGGACTTGAAGGTGGTGACAAGAAATGTGAATTTAGTGAGGAGGGAGGCACCAGTGAAGCACTCAAAGGGATTGGTGATGTGTACAGATTGGCCAGTTCAGAAGGTGATCCTAGTAGCTGAATTTTGTATTTTTCTGGAAGGGGGTGACATAGGTGTAGGCAAATAAATAAACATGTTGATGGAAACGCCATAATGTCAGAGGTGGTCCCTCTGAGGCAGGGTTGAAATATATCGGTGGGGAAAAGCTTGTATTTCCACTGTCTCTGCAGACTCATTCTGTAGATGAAAAGGACTTTGATCTCTAGGGTTGTCAGCCTGGCACCTCTCACAAACAACAATGTCACTTCTTAAAAAATGAACACAGAAAAATATTAAATAAGATTTCAGAGACCAGAAAGGATGAGAGAATGGGAACAGTTGGCTACCATGGCTATTGGGCCTTTTTTATGAAGGCTTGGGTGATTTTTGTCTCATTGTATGGCTCACCCCCTACTCTTCTTTCCTGCAGTGCACATGCTGGAGGAGGACTTGTTTGTTAATACTTAGCATAGGCAGTTTCTGATCACACCCATACTCTTACCTAACAGCAAAGCAGGAACGCTAGAGCCCACTCATATGTCTACTATGTGCAGCTGATTTGAACTGCGCTCCGGAGGACCAGGTCAGGAAGGAAGCTATGGCAGCAATTCAGTGGGGTAGAGATGTATGCACACTGGGCATAGGCACACTACTCCCTCACCACTGTTCACAGCTGGTGAGTTGCTCCAATGACTGGTAACTGTTAGATTTCCTCTTTTTGCTTCATTTTCAACCTACTGTTCTCTTTTTCCTGTCCCATGTGTCTATTTTCCACCTGCTCTGTCCCTGGGTTGTGTCTGTATCCCATCTCTTAGCACATTCCCTCTAATTCCTATATCTCTATCCCTTTCCTCTCTGCTCTCCTGACTTTGTTTGTGTGGTTTTATCTTGTGCTTACTATGGAGAGCCAAGGAACCATAATTTGGCATCCTCTCTGCTGTACTCCTACTCAGCAGCATTTCCCCTAGCAGCATCAGTGCCAGAATAAAATGGAAACTGAGAAGTGTGCCAGCTTTATCAAGCTGCATCCTGTGGAAAGGAGCTACTCTGGAAGGTACACAGTGCTACTGTGAAGGCATCTATAATACTAACTGTGAATTTCATAAGATCCTTCCACCTGCAAGATTTAAATGCATGGCAAAAAGCATGCAGGGGCTCAGCTCCCTTCCTTTCAATCTCCAAGCCCCGCATCAGTGTTTGATCACTATGCCCTGGTCTACACTACGAGTTTAGGTCGAATTTAGCAGTGTTAGATCGATTTAACCCTGAACCCGTCTACACGACGAAGCCATTTTTGTCGACTTAAAGGGCTCTTAAAGTCGATTTATGTACTCCTCCCCGACGAGGGGATTAGCACTGAAATCGACCCTGCTGGGTCAAATTTGAGGTAGTGTGGACGCAGTTCGACAGTATTGGCCTCCGGGAGCTATCCCAGAGTGCTCCATTGTGACCGCTCTGGACAGCACTCAGATGCACTGTCCAGGTAGACAGGAAAAGCCCCGCGAACTTTTGAATTTCATTTCCTGTTTGGCCAGCGTGGCGAGCTGATCAGCACAGGTGACCATGCAGAGCTCATCAGCACAGGTTACCATGGAGTCCCAGAATCGCAAAAGAGCTCCAGCATGGACCGAACAGGAGGTACTGCATCTGATCGCTGTATGGAGAGACGAATCCGTGCTATCCAAACTCCGTTCCAAAAGACAAAATGCAGGAATATTTGAAAAAAATCTCCAAGGGCATGAAGGACAGAAGTTATAACAGGGACCCGCAGCAGTGCTGCGTGAAACTTAAGGAGCTCAGGCAAGCCTACCAAAGAACCAGAGAGGCAAACGGCCGCTCCGGGTCAGAGCCCCAGACATGCTGCATCTATGATGATCTGCATGCCATTCTAGGGGGTGCCCCTACAACTACCCCACCCCTGTGCTTCCCTCCTCTCCCACCCCTCCCGGGCTGCCTTGGCAGTTATCCCCCCATTTGTGCGACGAATTAATAAAGAATGCATGAATTTGAAACAACAATGACTTTATTGCCTCTGCAAGCGGAGATCAAAGGGGGGAGGGGAGGGTGGTTGGCTTACAGGGAAGTAGAGTGAACCAAGGGGGCGGGTTTTCATCAAGGAGAAACAAACAGAACTGTCACACCATAGCCTGGCCAGTCATGAAACTGATTTTCAAAGCTTCTCTGATGCACAGCACGCCCTGCTGTTCTCTTCTAACCGCCCTGGTGTCTGGCTGCATGTAATCAGCGGCCAGGTGATTTGCCTCAACCTCCCACCCCACCATAAACGTCTCCCCCTTACTCTCACAGATATTGTGGAGCGCACAGCATAACGATGGCAATATTGGTTTCGCTGAGGTCTAACCGAGTCAGTAAACTGCACCAGCGAGCTTTTAAATGTCCAAAGGCACATTCTACCACCATTATGCACTTGCTCAGCCTATAGTTGAACTGCTCCTTACTACTGTCCAGGCTTCATGAGCCATGGGAACAAGGAGTAGGTGCGACCACGCGGTGCTGCCGACTGGGAGAGCAGCCTGAGGAGAAGCCTCCAGCTGGCATGATATCCCAGGCAGGACTGAATCTCCATTAGACGAAACTTAAAGAAGAGAATGACCTGGAGTCATTCCCATTTTTGTCCAGGCGCCCCCAACCGACCTCACTGAGGCCAGCCAGGCGCCCCCATGTCTGCCCAGGCGCCCCCGACCAACCTAACCGAGGTCGGCCAGGAGCACCCACGGGATGACGACGACGGTTAGCAGTCGTATTGCACCGTCTGCCATCCGCAAGGCAAGGCAAGGAGCTGCTGTTGTGTAGCACTGCAGTACCGTATCTGCCAGCAGCACCCAGGAGACATACAGTGACAGTGAGCTGAGCGGGCTCCATGCTTGCCGTGGTATGTCGTCTGCACGGGTAACCCAGGAAAAAAGGCGAGAAACGATTTTTTGCCGTTGCTTTCATGGAGGGTGGGGGGGCCTGATGACATGTACCCAGAACCACCCACGACAATGTTTTTGCCCCATCAGGCATTGGGAGATCAACCCAAAATTCCAATGGGTGGCGGAGACTGTGGGATAGCTACCACAGTGCAACGCTCCGAAAGTCGACGCTAGCCTCGGTACTGTGGACGCACACCGCCGACTTAATGCGCTTAGTGGGGACACACACAATCTTAAAAAATCGACTTCTATTAAATCGACCTAATTTCGTAGTGTAGACATACCCTAAGAATGTATGGCTTTGCATTTGTGTTGTATTAATAAAGTCATGGAGGTGGAAAGCAATGGATATTTCAGTACATGCCCAAATGTTTGAGGCTGAGAATAAGGAATATGAAGAAATTTATTTCCAAATCTAACTCTATATCAGTCATGTATTACCAAATTTGAAATAAGTTTATCTTGGTAATTTTAATTTAATTACCATTTCTAAATGTAGGTGAATGGATTTTCCTACCTTCCACTTAGCAGTCAAACACCACCAAAACATATTTTAGTGACTTTTCCTTCATGTAATAAGTTGCATACTAGTAATCAGTTTTCCATTCACCCTTCTTTGTGCTTACCCAACCTTGTTTTTCCCCTCGACCATTCATTTTTGTCCCCCAATTCTCTCACCTTCCCACCAATTGCCTTTCCTATCTCTTCCCTAGAATTCTGTGTTTTTAGTTCAGCCTCTCCTTAAAAATACCTTAAATAGAATTCTTCTACCTCTCCACCTCTGATACTGTCTCCTCAATTCTGCCTGTCCCTCTCCTCCCGCTTTGTCCAGTCTTTCTCCTCACTGCCTCCCACTCCATTTAGTCTCCCCTCTCCTCACGCTATATAACAGAGCCTCTCTTCCTGGTTTATTTGGGCATAAGCTTTCGTGGGTACCCATGAAAGCTTGGTGCCACCGGTTTCCTTGTTGTTTTTGTGGATACAGACTAACACGGCTACCCCCTGATACTCTCTTCCTGGTGACTCTTCTCCCCTATTGCTGAGTGCAATGAAGCTAGAGAACTAAGGTTGAGGAGACCTGCACCATACTTTCTCCCCTCCATATAACCCTTCCCAACCCAGCAGGAGAGGAGGAGGAGGAGGAAGTGCTTATATCGTGTGAACTAAGCACTGGGCTTCCTCTGTTCTCTCCCTCCTCTCAGACAAGAGTCAGAGTGACCTCGACATTGCTCCTCTGCATTTTCTCCTTCCCTCTCCCGTCTCTGAAATGAAAGCATCTGGGCAGTAGAAAGAGACAATGGAAGTCTCATCCCCAGAGTGTAGGTGAATTATAGGCTTGCAACACTGAAACTCAGCTGCCTTCACTTTAGTTAGATGCAAATAAAGTTAGGCATTCCTGGGCTCAGCCAGCAATCTCAAAGGCCAGCAGTGAAAGACCCAGAGCGTAGCTGGGAATTCACTAATGTTTTTCATTGTTAGAAAGGCAACAAAACAAAAGGGAAAGGAAACTTCAATAAATCTTAAAGTACAGGAAGGCCACCGCCTATCCCACTCCACCTGCAGTCAGGAACTTCTGACTTCCTCAGCTAAGTACAGAACACACATTTTGTAAAGCATTGTGTATTTGTCTTTGGAACAGGATGCCCTCCTGTCACTGGATTTTTCTTTAAAGTTGGGTTGCTTCTTTAATGTCTTGTCTCATTTTGTGTGATCTTATTGCTCATGACAAATGCCAGACTGGTAGCGTTGGAGCTCTGAAGCCTCAGCTCTGGTCTGGAAGGACAAATAGTGGGGTGAATAAGTAACTCTGTCTCCATCATTTACTCAGTCCTTAGTTTCCTCGGCTGAGATTGGTAACAAGAGTGCAAATTAAAACAGGCTGTTGTGTATGCTTTTGAGATGTGGACACTTGTCCACTGGAAATCGGATACACCCCATCAAAGATATAAAAGTCTTTGGTCCCTATTAATATGACCTGTAAATGAAGGGCTCAGCGTATAGGTGAAAGGTTCTATATTGCATTGCCAACCTCCTAAGCCATCTGTTCTACCCCTTCCCCTTGGAAAAGAAAATAAAGATCGAGGCTTTCCACTGGAGATTATAAACTATAGAGAGATTGGAGGTAGTCAAAGATTTTTCATAATAATACTAGTGTTCTTTTCCTCCTTAGGCGAATCTGTACTAGAAAAGGTATGCCAATAGACCTGTACCAGCAAACCCACCTAGTAGACACACACTTTCTACTGCCAAAAATGTGCTTTTGCCTGTATAACTTATACCAGTTCTCTTTAAAGCTCTACCGACTTTACATTCTCTTTCTAAATTCTGTTCTCCATTACACTTGTTTATATTCAGAGTAAATACAATAAAGTCAATTTTAAGAGCAGGATTTGATTGTCACTGAAGGCTGAAGCCCTTTAATAGGAAGAATATTATGATCAGTACTTGTAATTATACCAAGCACGGAGCTAAAACACTGATCATCTGTTTTGTTTTCCCTAGAGGCTATGCTTAGCTGTAAGTACTCAGCTGGAAAGGGTATTATTCCAAGAGTAGAATGGAAGAAACTCTCATCCCGTGATGTCTCATTTGTGTACTACAAAGGTGACTTAGTAGGTAAGAAGCTGCAAACTTGTAGACTGATGGATTAAAATGAAATTGCTAAAATGCAGTTTGGTTTCTTTTCTGAAGAGAATAACAATGACAAAAGGACTTCCCAGAATTGGTTTTTGAAGAGCATATTCTTGAATGGCTTTCTATGCTAGTATCTATTCTATCTTTGATGGTATTAAATATTTTAACTTGAAGATGTAGATGAGTCTTTTGTACTGTTCTGTTTAGATTTTAAAAATGGCATTGTAGGTTCCCTGAATCCTTCTATAACCTGAGCGCATTTAAATAAAATTCTGTCCGTATTGAAAACTTTATGATCCAAAGAACAAGCTTCTGAAAGATTCTTTAAAATAAAGCTGAAGACTTGAACATAAATGTCATAGTAATATATACAGTGTAACAGCATATTTTAAATACACCCCCATTCTTTTTAGGAGTAGAACATAAGAATAAGTGTTCTTTCTTAAAATGACTTATTTCAGCTTTACATTTTGAGTGAAAAGCGCATCTCCGTGGTACCGTATATGTCAGCTATTTTTATTGTAGCCTTGTTCAAAAAGCTGTAGCTATTTTTTTTCTCTTTTCAATGGGAAGTTAGTTTTGCCCTCATAACACACACACTCCCATAACTCAAATGTCTGAAAGAATTTTGTTCCAACTTAAAAAAAAAAAATCACCTTTAACCAGAGACCAAGTATGGAAAACAATCAGCCCACAAGGTGAAAGGTATGTGATAATGGGACTACAATGGAGGTTGGATTTTTGAAAGCTTAACTAGAGAGCTTTTGGCCAACATTCTCTATCTATAATAAATGTCACTTTTAAGTTTCTTGGATGATGCAGATTTCACCAAGCCACCCAAGAGTATTGGGGAAATGCATGTGCTGCCAAATTCAAGATGGGTCTTGGGATTCCAACTCTATAGGCTGTTGGAAACTGGCTGTGTTTCATAAGTGATGCCTTTGGTTTGTGAACAAAGGGTGTAGGGTTTGGGCTTAAAGTATTGCCTTGTTGCCCCTAAATTTATTTGTAGAGTGGAAGTGATAGTATCTTTGGAGAAAAGTGCTCATATTTATTGTCCTTCAGTGGAAAATTAGGCACAAAGATTATCAAGATTGAAGAAGTGAGCAATGATTGATGACTAGATGCATTGTGTGGTTTCCAGATGAGCCAATGATGCACAGTGATATTTTATTTTTATAACAGGCTTGATCTGCAAGGAATACTTTTCTAACTGTCATATTCTCTTTTAAAGGTGATCTGAAAGGCCGAGCAGAGATGATAGATTCAAGCATACGAATTAGAAATGTGACCAGAAAAGATTCTGCGAGATACCGTTGTGAAGTTAGTGCGCCGACTGAACGGGGACAAAATCTGGCAGAGACTATTATTACTCTCACAGTGTTGGGTAGAAACCTAACTTTGACTATGGGTTTTTGTTGAGGTCAATCCTAAGGGCAGGAGGGTAGGGGGAATTCAGTGTGGATATTTTTTCTCATGCACTCTTTTGTGCATGAAGAAAAATATGACAAAGTGTACATTCTTTTCTGGCTTCTCTTTAATGTTTTCACAAACCACATTTACCTTCTTTTGACCACCTCTAACAAATAATTAATAATAGGGAACAAAACTACCCTTACAGAATCTTTTCTGAAAGTTTGGCCTGTATATTAAGGCTGGAATTTTCAAATGGGCCTAAGGGAGTTGGGCACCCAGCTCTCATTGACTTTCAGTGAAAGTGGGTACCTAACTCTTAGGCCCCATTGAATTTCCCAACACCAAAGCAACTATGACATCTTAAAGGGCATTGATAATCACTCTGTTCATAGAAATAAATCCAAAACACACAACTGTGAAGAGGCCAGTACTAGCTCCAAATTCTGATTAGGTTACAAGTAAAACTCAGAGGTCTTCTCCTTGTCCACTTTATAAAATTGCACATAGAAATACTGGCCTCTCTTCTGGAGAAACCCATGTCTGGGCTGGCAGAAATGTTATCTGGATTGAGGCACACTGGCACACCTGTATGTGGAAAAAGCTTTACTGGATCTTTTTCAGCAACTGCCAGTACGAAGACTAGCTGAAGTTCCTAATAAGCCCTGTATTCATAAGTACTGGAACTGTGCTGAAGTGGTTTCCGTTATATACTACTCCTGGGGGAATTCTGTGCCAAAAAATTAAGAATTGTGCAACAAAAAATTCTGCGCACGATATTTTGAAATTCTGCAAAATTCTGCATATTTTATTTGTCAAAATAACACAATATGATCATACCAGTTTCAATTATTTTTGGTTATTTATTTCAAAATACCTGTCAGCAAGTATGTCTGTAACAATGCAGACAATAAAAAAGATTCAGGGAATGTTTTTTGACAAATAGATTCCTTATCAGTATATCAATACAGAACACAAAGCAAAGTGGGTATTTTGTTCATTTTTTTAAAAAAAGCCACAGTTCAGTGATTCTTGGCCTTTGGTGGTGACTCAGCAAATGTTTGAAGTATCATACTGTGACTAGAGCTGTTCAAAAAATTTTAATGAAAAAGTTTTTCCACCAAAAATTACTTCTCAAACTACATGGATTTTTTTTCTGTGAAAACATGTCCTTTAAAACTTTTTTGAAACCAAAGGAAATTATTTTCTTTTCTTTCCTTTTTCCCCTCTTCACTAGTTCAGGGGAAAAAAGGGAAGGGGAAAAAGGGAGTTGAGGGGAAGATGCTCAAAAAGGGCGGGGGGGGTTGTTTCAAATAAGTGGAAACAACAAGAACAAAATATTTCAACCAAAAAAAGAAATTCCATGGAAAGTTTTGCCTGACTCAACATCCCCTTGAGTCCATGGAACTAAGTGCTGTGCTGGCAGGATGGAGGTGGGGAGGGAGGGTTGAGAAATTGATCTTGGATTGGATGGTAGTGAGAGGGAGCAGAGCAAGGGAGAGGCAGCAGCAGGTTGAAGGGGCTGGGAGCAAGGTGCTCCTTCCCTTTCCAGGGTCCTAGCAACCCAGGGATTTTTCTGTGTTCTCATTTAGTGGCGTGTGACCCACTGGTCACCCCTGGTGATCTCTTTCTTGGCCATGCCCCACCAGTCTATCCTGTTAATTAATACATCGTGGGGTTCTTTGGATTGTTTCTGATGCCTAAGCATATGTTGAAATAGAAATGTGAATGTTAATTTAAAACACTTAAACTGCCAAATAACAAATACGTTTTCATTGTTCAGTGGCCTCGGCAGCTCCATCGTGTGAAGTGCCCAGCTCAGCGATGAGTGGAACAGTAGTACAACTGAGTTGTAAAGAAAATGAAGGGTCTCCTGCTTCTGAGTACAAGTGGTATAGGAATGGTGTTGCTTTACTGGAAAATACAGGAACAGGCAGTGCTAAAATAGGAAACATTTCTTACACCATGAATAAAAAGACTGGAACATTGGTAAGATCATCTTATCCAACTCTTTCTTTTGACTTTTGAGTCTGAAAGAAAACTAAATGTATTATTCATGTTACACTATGACCAAGGATCAGGGCCCCATTGTGCTAGGCATTGTGCAGATGAGAAACAAACAAACAAAAGTCCATGCCCCAGAGAGCTCACAACCTACATGTCAGACAGGATACAACAAGTGGATGAAATACACAAACTGGGTGGGAGTGGAGTGAAAGGAGGAGGTAAAATAATTTAGCAGAGTTTTGCAAAATAAACCGAAGTTATAGCTTGCCACGTGTGTGACCTGTGCCAGATCAGGCATCACAGTACTAAGTTTTTTAAGGAGGGATTTAAAAGAGGATAAAGTGGGCATCTTTACAAACTTCCATGGGGAGTTATTCCCAAGCATAGAGGGCAACATCAGAGAAACAGATGTTTAGGAAATGTAAAAGTAACTTTCCAGATATACTTAGAGGGCCCAATCCTGCACCAGTAAAGACTGGGAGCAGGAACCAGGCCCCAAATCAGCATAGGCATCTTTTCCAGAACTATACACCTCTTTTGAAGAGACTTCCATGGATGCTTTTCAATTATTATTAATGATAAATTTTAGTCCAAGACTTTCCAAAGTGACTAGTAATTTTGGGCACCTCACTTTTATGAACGATCAAAGTCAAATACCTTAGAGGAGTCTGATTTTCAGAAGGTGAATGATCAGTGCACTCTTAAAATCCCACCCCTTTAAGGTGTGTCAAACTGAGCACCCAAAATCACTAGTCACCTCTGAAAATCTTGGCCTTGATGCGTAGTTGTGGCTCTCAGAGAGTGAGCCTAATTTCAAAGCCCACTGAAGTCAATGGGAAGACACCCACTGAGTTTGATGAGTTTTGGAAAGTCCCCACCTCTCCCTTTCTTGTTGTTTATGTGAAATAGTCATCCGTTTCATCATACTTCATTTTGTAAAAAAAGAAAAAATAACCCATAGTTCAAAGAACTAATTGTCTAAATGGTATCAGTGCAGTGTCCCTCATCCACCAACCTCCTAACTTTAAATCACATGGTGATAGTATTTGATAACTAGAGCTGGTTGGGAATTTTTTATCTGAATGATTTTCTAACAGAAATGCAGTTTCCACAAAATTGAAATTTTCCACAGGGAAATTTTGAGTTTGCTTTTCAAATTTTTTCAAATTCAATTTTCCACCACGAAAATCAAAATAAAATATTTAATTTGGGGTCAAATTCAGTTTCAGAAATGTTTGAAATGTTTTGTTTTGATTAAAAAAATGTTGAAACAAAATGTTTCTGAATCAAAATTTTTTGGAATTTCTGTTTTGTTAAATTTCATCTTTTCATCCAAATTTGGGACAAAAACAAAAATGTCAGAATTTCCATGGGATGGAAATTGTAAATTTCACTCAGCTTTATTGGTGACTTTTTTTAAAATTTAACAGCTATTTAACACAGTTTCAAAGAAGGACACTGGAGAGTATTACTGTGAAGCCTCTAATGGAATTGGACTTCCTCAAAAATGCTCTGTGAAGCGAATGCAAGTTGGTAAGTGTCAAAAGCAAATAAGGCAAAAAAATCTGTAGATGAAAATGACTTTATTGCATGGCACATGTAAGAAACTAAGACTAGGTTCAAATTATACTATCTCATTCCTCCCCCAGAGTGCTGGAATCAAATGCAATTACATGATGTTTGTTATGAATGCCATTTATGTAGACATTTTGGTTGCTTAAGTCACTCCTCTTCTAAAAAGAAGCAGTAGAGATTACTGTATCTTACATAAGGTTGCTTAGCTCAGCGTGCTTTAGAATGATCAAATGTCCAGCTTTCAGAAGATTACTATGCATTAAACTCCACTGAACAATAGTATACACCAGGGGTCGGCAACCTTTCAGAAGTGCTGTGCCGAGTCGTCATTTATTCACTCTGATTTAAGGTTTCACGTGCCAGTCATACATTTTAACGTTTTTAGAAGGTCTCTTTCTATAAGTCTATAATATATAACTAAACTATTGTATGTAAAGTAAATAAGGTTTTTAAAATGTTTAAGAAGCTTCATTTAAAATTAAATTAAAATGCAGAGCCCCTCAGCCCGGTGGCCAGGACCGGGCAGTGTGAGTGCCACTGAAAGTCAGCTTGTGTGCCGCCTTCGGCACGTGTGCCATAGATTGCCTACCCCTGGTATACACATAAGATATTAATATTTCAGAACTTTTTGTGGAGGCTGTAAAGTATGATCTGCAAGTCTTGTTTCACAGATATTTTCCTTGAGTCAATTTCATGTGGGACTTTAATGCAGCAACTCAGAAAACTATTTCTGATCTTCATTTTCTTATCTGGAAAAACAGTAATAAATGTGACATTTATATCTGGTTAGAGGGACACTGTCCGGGTTGATAGGCCTAATGTTTGTTTTGCTTTCTGCTCCTTATCTGTTTGCAACATTCGTGGAACCTGTTAGATATAGAATTTGTTTTGTGAACAAGTCCATCCGTTATTTTTTTCCCCAAAGAAAAAAAAATATATTCCAGCAGCCCAGCACTCTTGAGTAGCTCTGCAAAATCCCACAGCAGTGCATGCACAAGTGATGGAGAGAAGTTGGTAAGGAAATATTTCAAGTTTCTAAAAGGTTTTAATCAAGAGTGAAGGGGAAAATGCTTCTAATGGATGGATTCTACAAAATACCTTGGCAGTGACCTTTTAAACAGTGCTCTAATATTTCTTACTCTCTCAGGACCTGGTTCAAAGCCTGCTGAAGTCCATAGAAAGACTTTGGATCAGGCCTTTTAATGCATTCATGTTGTATTTGAGTAACTACATGCTATCAAGGCAGAATTCCTCTACTGGGGAAACATTAATCCAAGTCATAAATTGGTACTTATCGACACACATAAGAAGTTTTTTGGACCAATGTTTTCAAATCTGTGTGCCTGTAGTTAGGCAACCAAATATGTATTTGGACATCTAAATAGAAGTGGCCTAATCTCTCCCCCCACGAGGTGCACACTTACAGCTCTCATTGATTATAATGGGAATGGGGATTGCTCATCACCACAGAAAAATCAGGCCACTTCTAATTTAGGTGCCCAAATCTGGATTAAGGAGTCTAATTTTAGGCACCCAGGTTTGAATACTTTGGCCTTGGTGGTTTAGTTTTTAAAAACCCTCACTTCCATTCACGTCAGAAGCCATTAAGTTATACATATGATTCAACAGCATGAAAATTCTTGGTGCCACAAATATCATTCTGTGTCAACAATTTCATCAGCTGTTACATTACTACTATTTTAATCAAACTAACTTAAAACAAATCTTCTCTAACAGCTGTTTCCATTTACAGGCTTCAGGATATATTCTCCCTTTGACATGTGTAACTTGAATGATGCCAGGGGTTAGGCACTCATCTAGATGAGAAAATACCCCCTTGTCTCTATCCAGTTTTTGACTTTTTGGATCATATTAAGAATTTGAGGTGTGTTAAAAAGCCTTGTGCTAATAAGGGTATTATTTGGTGGGTAGTAGGTTCTCAAAATGTTTATTCCATTCACTTCTTTCTGGTTGCTAGCAACTTACATGTCAGAGTCATTTACATATTGCATTCTATAGTTATCATTGCCACTGCTCTCTGGAATTTTTATAGTGGAAAACTGTTATAATGGCAAGTTTTTGTTTTGGGGGGTTTTTAACACTGGATTTATCTTGTTTTCATTTATAGATGACCTTAATATAAGCGGAATCATAGCGGCTGTAGTAGTTGTGGCTCTGGTAATGGCATTATGTGGCCTTGGGGTATTTTATGCACAAAAGAAAGGTTACTTTTCAAGTAAGTCAAGTTAAATCTTGCCTTCCTCATAGACATCAGGAAACTTGCTATGACTAAATATTTCTACTGTGTAGAGTATACTCCTTTTTCATGTAAGGTCTGATTCTGCACTATTGAAGCCAATGGAAGTATTGCATCTGTCTTCAATAAGTGTAGGATCTGACCCATAGTTATTTGTTCTGCCTGCTCCTTTTATTCATACCCAGTTTACTTTTTGCAATAGAAAATGAGATAGAAATGGCAGGCTAGTCACAAATGACTGTTGAAAGGGAATTTAGGCAAATCCAGAGGGTCTAAGTAAGCTCCACAGACTTCTTTCTTATGCAAAGTTAAGATAATTTTGAAAATATTAGAAAAAAGGTTAAATATTTTCTCTTGCCCACAGTTCTATTTTCCATAAATGTTCATGAACTGAGTCTGAGAATTGCTAGCTCACCCAGTCACTGACAGATACCTTGAAGAAAATGAACTCTAAGCTCAGGGGAGGCAGAGCCCGGGATAAGTAACTGCTTGGGTACAAAGTCTAGCTGATGAAAGAAGTTACAAATTTCTTCCCCAAAGTGTGTCATAACAGGGCTAGTGAGGAACATTGTGGATATGAGAAAAACCAAAAACTACCTGAAAGACATTAGGTATAAATTTATTTCTGGCCAGAATTCTAACATGTTTACTCATGTTTAGTACCTTGCTACACAAGTGTTCCCATTTATTTAGCAGGGTACCAAATGACATAAAAGAAGAGCAACAAAATTACACCGATGTGTTATATGATAGAATACTCACGCACACATATCAAATATGTGTGTGTGCATATGTACATTAAAGTGACATTATTGGTGGTTTTGGTTTCTAAAATCTGTCTGTTCCAGTAAAAAGAAACAATGTAAACAGTCATTTTTAATCTAAGATGTAAGCAGTACTGAAACTTGCATCCTAGTGGAAATGGACTTGCTGACTCCATCTGCTGGACCATAATGAAAGTACATGTCAGGAAAACTGATGCTTTTATTAAATTTCATAAGAGCTGGGCAACTTCCCCAAGGGTATTTACAATAGGGGCCATAGAATCTAATACAGTGAACAGGCAGTGATGCAGAAGAATGTTTCAGGATGTGTCTGAAAGAGGACACACAGCTTTTTGGTGTGTAGGGGGGAGCAAGGGCTGAAGATTGATTTGAGAGCAGTTTCACGAGAGCAGGTAGCTGAACGCTTTCAGAAGTAGACTATTAACTCCAGAGGAGAGGGGGCTTGGGCAGCTTTCCTGCTGGCTTATCCAGACAGACTGCTGTCAGGGGAATCACTTGTTCATCCTCCAGTGAGAAACATAGTTCAGATGCTACTGTCAGAAATTAAAGGGATGAGGAAGGACAAGAGTTAAATGTTATCCACAGGAGATATTTCAAAGGATGTTTATTAGCCAGGGAAATTACTGTGTGCTAAATATGTTTTTTCTTTTACTTTTCCAGAAGAAAGCTCTTCTCAGTAAGTATATCACTTTTGGGTAGTTAATTTCATTTGTGCTTCTGATGATGTAAGAAATGTGATGCTTGTGTAGGGCTTTCCACATCATTATTATACATGGGGGGTGTTTTGTGTCCTTAACCTTATTTTTGATAACCTGTTCTGAAATATTCTTTAGGCTGCTACTTTGGTGGCTGGATTTTCTCACTATGCTTACTAAGCTGCATACTAACACCAAGCCACTAGTAATAAATGAACCAACCAATACTTTTGTTAAATAAACAGAGGTAAATTTTCAGATGGCTGTGTCCCCTCCCCCTTTTGGTTATCATTCAAACCCCTAATTCAGCCACAGACATAAATCTTGCTTGGCCAACTCCCTGGTTGTGAATGCAAAATAGCTAGGTAGAAGATTTTACCCAAATCTGTGTGTGCAGATCATTTTGGAAACTGGTCATCAGCCAGGATGAAAGTATACACCTCAGTCTTGCATTAAAAGATGGAAGTGTGCTAGTTCTGTGAAATCAGCAACTGTTCGTACAGTACATGCAAGCTGATTTTACAAGATAGGCTGAGATACATGCTCACATATGAGACTAATATTGAGTCCTTAAAGTGGAGGCTGGCATTTCTTCTGTCTAGCTAAGCTCAACATTAATAACTCACATTCTCAAGTGAGGACAATGGCAGGAAAAAGCAAGTAACTTATTAAAAGAAGATATCGCCAAGTACTTCTTAAAAATACTTTCTGTTTTATGATGGTCATGAATATAATATACATCACTATATGAGCCATAACCAGATATGCATCACATCTTGGAGCCTTAAGGCAACAAGCCAGGGAAGCTAGTTTGGCAGTGGCTCATGATGTAAGGATTTTGTTGTCTAGAAGCTCCCCAAGGAATCGTCACAGGTACTGTAATGGACAGAAGACAATGGACATGCCCCTAATGTAAAATGTTGCTGTCTGTGCCTTTGGAGAGGAGGAAATTTTATGAAAGAGCTATTTCTATTACATAGTATTTTCATACATCTGGTACAGATCTTGTTAATTGCGAGCTGTGAAATGGTGATAACTTTCTTTACTTGGTCAAGATATTCTCATAAAGTAATCTGGCTTTAGTCAGATAGGAATGCCTTTCAAATAGCACATTGCAAAACATTGCTTTACCTCCTGAAAATCAGTGAGCCCCACAGACTCAATCTTCCCTTTATGTATAGATGCTTTTTTCGCATACCTTGTGAAGCCATTTACTGTGCCTGTTGATTGCACGATATTGTTTCTGGTCTTTTACAAGATAAGAGCTAAGATGAAACCAGGATGGTGTCTAAAGTGGGCAAATTTGTGTATAAATATGCTTCTCCAAGAACTAAAGTACAAGCAGATAAAAATGAAACAGTTAATCTGCCTTCTTTGTTTATCACACTAACAGGAAGAAGAGTTCTGACTATAAATATACCCCAAGTGAAAAGGTGAGTGTATTCAGCAATCAGCTAGGGCATTTGTGGGAGCTGCTCACCATGAACCAATTAAGCTTCCATTTCCTGTGACTGCCCAGTTCATTGGCCCTGAAATGAATAAAGATTATACATTTCCTATATTTTGAAAGAACAGAGGTTAGTCTCAGTACTTTTTGGCTGAAGAACAGTTCATGGTTTTGCTTCTAAGAAAACACTTGGATTAAATGAGAGAAAACTACAGCTTTAATTAAACACATGGCATCAAGTCTAATGCTCTACAGATAATGTGAATTGGAACCATCTTTGCCTTGCCTTATCTTACCATATCATACTGAAATATTTTACATGTGTACCATGGTATAATAATCCCAGAAATTACAAAATCATCATTTGACCAATGATCCAATTTTTTTTCCTGTGTGTGGAACAATCGACTTCCAAAGCTCAACTTTGAGATCTATGAGCACAGTTTCTACCACTCTCTCCCTCTTGCTACAGGGTGGTATGGAAGGGAAAGGGACCCCTTGGAGCCTTTTCCATCCCCTCTCCCCCACATCCCCTTAAGCAGAGAGAGCAGATCAGAAAGGTGGAACCTAAAGCATTGCCTCTCTTCTCCTCTACACCCTGTCTGGCAGCACTGGGGGGTAAGGCAGCAAGCTCGTTACTGTATAAAGCTACTGGCATTAGCCACCAAGTAGAATGAACACGAGAGCAAAGGTTCTCAAACTCTGGTCCACAAAGCACTTGCTGCTGGTCTATTGAGAGCTGGCTAGTCACAGGGCACTGGCAGCTCTATCTCCTCCTTATATCTACCTGCTAAATCAAAATTTATTTAAAAAAAAAAAGTTAAAATCACTTTCCATGTAAGGCAATTGCTGCAGTTAGGCACACAATGTTACACAACTGTGTGTTTGTGTGTGTGTGCGAGAGAGAGAGAGAGGGAGAGAGAGGTGTACACAAGACAATCAAGATGGTGCACACTATGAAAGAGATCCCCTGCACTAGAGAAGAGCCAATGGCTAGGTTTGCTTAGAGAAACATTGGATCTGTAATATTAGCTCAGCTTTGCAACATATGTCAAGAAAACTCAACAGCACCTGCAAACACTTCCTAGTCCACCTTCACTACAAACACCAGCATATGCAACTTCCTTCCCCACACAGATGCACTCAGAAGCAGTCCTTGTCTCCTCAAACCTACATTTTACACTGCTCTGCTCTACCTCTTTCACTTCACAACTGTTTCTCACACATCGGGCAACCACAGCACCCCACCACCTACATTATTCAAATCCTCCCAACAAACTCAGTCACACACCTGATTTACCCATCTCATCTCACCCACCAGTCATCCTTCTATTCACCCAGTCTCAGCTCTTTCCTGTTCTGTCAACTTCATCCATTTACTTCCCTTCCTCACTCAAACCCAACCCACAATTACTATGTTCTCTTCACTGTACCTCAACAATAGTGCCAAAACTAGAGCAGGTGTCTCAGACACTGCAGCATTAGTTGACCCCACTGAGGGGCTGGATATTCTGCTTTAACCTTGCTCCAGTGGCCCCTTCCCTGAGCTGCTGGGATCTCTGGCTGGAGGCAGCGCATGGAGCTATGTACCTCCTGTTTGCTTCCCTAGGCCTGAGGAGGGGACCAAAGAAGCTGGGCAACGGGAAGAGGCTGCAAGGTGGCAGAGTAGGATTGGCTTTGGGCTTAGGGGAGGATTAGGATCAGTATGCAACAAGCCTGACCAGAACAGCGGTAACTCCAAAACACCAGCTAAATTTAATTCTCACAACTCATGATAGAGGGGGGTCCCCACAAATTTCATTGATCCAATGCAGCTTCTGCTGTTAAACTGATGCAGGGAGTGATGCTCCACCTATAGGTCTAGCTATGAAATAGCAACAGCTGCTCTCAGGACCTACCAGATGGCAGTCAGTATTGGTTATACCTGGCCACCATAAGTGCTCTGTGAAAGCTACCCTCTGTCCTTAAATCTGAACACCACGGAACTTAAGCAGTGGTTTTTGATTTCCTCTTTTGGTGGTGAAAATTTCTTGGTTTGTCTCTCTTCACTGAAATATTGGTAAACTCTAGTTGTGGGGTGCATTCATCAACTGCAGTATAATTGCACATCATCATCAGCTATAATTGGAGTATTCAAAAGGAAAGAAACACAGCAGTTTTACCTTTTTCCCCTTGATCTTTAATTCCTCCCAGTGGGACACTTTTTGAACTGTAGTAGGTATATCATGTACAAATGTGTTTTGTGGGTTTCACTCCTCAAAGGGAATTGAAATGGTATGCTCACTGATGAGCCAGAGGTTTATTTGCCTACTATTCTGTTGCTCTGGGAAGGGATTTGGTCTCATTACTAAAACTTCATAGCATTTTTTGTTGCTGTATGCTTGGTGTTTACTTCTTTTGCCAACCTGGAGACACAAGTGAAGTTCTACAGATGTTTAAGTGTGATGAATACTGAAAGCATTTGTACTATAACTTGTCACCTTACCCTTTTCTTTTTTTCCATTTAGGATTTCAAGCACACCAAGTCCTTTGTTATTTAGAAGATTTCAGCCTCTTTGAGGGACACACAGTGACTACTTGTTATACAAAATATTAAAGGGATTTTTTTTTAACTCTTCTGCAAATATTTGGATTTGTTTTGAGATGGCATACACTAAAAGCAGAAAGTTTATTGAAATGTCTAGGAGCCGATGTTACAAACCTAATCACGGACTGTACAACTGTTCATATTGTTAAAATACTGTTATTTCTCTAATTTAAGGATAGTAGTATGTAGATTTCTTCTCATCCTGTTTATGTATATACACAGCAAGGGGACTCATTACTAAGCAAATTTATGCTCATGATCCTTACAGATTAATGTTAGAAGTTTTTTGGCCACTCTAACCTAGTGCTTTGTAGTGTCTACATCTAAAAGACAATGTGAAGGGCTCTAACTTTTGCCGTTTTTTGGTTTTATTAGTGCCATGATTTTTCTAATAATGTCAGACCATGCAGTCAAGTGTACAATTATTGATACTGTACAAGTATAAACTTGAGTTGTTAACTGTGGTTCACCCTCTCTATAATAGAGAACCTCCAAACAGTGTTCTGCTGTGGAGGAGTGCTTTTCAATCTTTTTTCATTTGCCGATCTCTACAAAATTTCAAATGGCGGTCTGGCCTCCTTTAGAAATCTTAGACATAGTTTGCACACCTCAGGTTGAAAACCACCACTGTAGATCAAATGTTCAAATCCCAGTGCTAAAGTGTGTAGCTTTTTTCCTTCTAGGAAGTATATTTAAGATCCGTGAAAGTTTCTTTGCTAAAGATTGTATGTGTGAAGGAAAACAGTGCAGCAAAACTGATGCAGTATTAGTGCCTTGATTTTTCTGTTAAAAGTTCAGTTTTACAAATAAATGACGCCTAGTGTCTGATGTGCTGTCTACTATGAACTTGCTTTTGGAGGTCTGTAACTAGATTAATGGTCTAGTGGTCAACATTAGATTAATGTGTTGCTGAAATATGGTACTCATGGTGGTGTTGAACAGTCTGCTTTGCAAGAAACATTCTGCCTGATATTATCTTCAATTACATGTTCCTTTAGCTCCAAAAATTTCTCATATTTCAACTCTAAAATGACAGCCATAGTAATTAGAAGGGGAAATGTTTTTGTTTTAGCAAGCATGCTTTAGCTGGAACATGCACTTTGTCTGCTTAGTTAAACTTTGACAGTCAGTTTCAATGCAGGAAAGCATCTGTATGTTGGATGGCCCATAAGCATTTGCTGGATTGTCACGGACTTCAATTGGTCATAAATCAGCATCTAGTTTTGTTACTTAGGCTCTGTGCTGTATGTTCTTTCAAATGCTGGTTTGGCAGTGCAAAAATGCCACAGGAGCTTTGAGATAGTAAGATGAAAATGAATACAACTGCTACCTGTGGCCCTGAACTGCTTTAATATTACAGCCAATTTATTTCACTGTCTCCACTTCTTATATACTACAGATATCTGGATCAACATGCAAATTTTTTTCAGAGAAGCTGTGAGAAAACTTTAGGAGCTAGATTCTTTGGCACCAAAATAGGCAGTATGGGATTCTAGGAGAAGCAGAAACTGGATGTTGCTGCTCAAAGTGAGCAGTGACGTTGACATTTAAGATGCCCTCTTTCTCACCCCATGGGGATTAATAGTTCATTTAGTGAACTCTCATTCAGGCTGTCTGTATATTTGTTTGATTAGCTCATGTCTAACAAAACAAGCTACAAATTTTAAATGAATGCTTAGATTATACAATAATTCTCAAGAGGAATTGATTGAAGAGCAGAATATTGTGAACTTTCCCTATACAAATGTAGCTGCTAAAAACAGTGGGCTACAGGGGCAGGCGTAAGCTAAGATTTCTTAAAAGAATTCACACCAAATACTGAGTCACTTAAAGGAGCAATCCTACTTTTTAATCTTAGCTTAGAGAACATACATCTAACAGTACTATAAATGAGAATATTTTGCAGTTTCATGGGCATGTGAGTGAAACTTTCTAGAAAGTCTTAATCTTAGCCCTGAAAAGTTTTCCTAAAAAAGCAATAGGAAAACTATCATTAAACTACTGTGACAGAGGAGGGCAAAGGGTAGGTATAGTACTCTGCATTTTGGAGTAATAGCAGGTAAAGATGAAACTCTACACTTTGACCTTACTGACTGCCTTCGATATATCATAGTGTAAGTCCTGTGTTCCTACCAACGGTTGAATTGGGGAATTGGATCTGCACCAGATACCAAAATGAGATGTTACCGAGATTGCAAAATGCTCAAAGTTTGTCTTGTTTCCTTGGGATCAAATGCCATTCAGATAAGTCAGCTCAATGTGATCATTTTTCTCCCTGTACTATGAGCAGCAGTAAAATGAGCAATATTGATAGGTAGTTCAAACCTCTGCTGGTGTTTCTGGTAGACAGGACTGAACTTGAATAAGTTTTTTCATATTTTGATGGGGTCTTCAGGAACAGACTAGAAACTTTAGTACTTAACTCTCCCCAAAAACCTCAAGTTTTTTATTTAGAAGAACAAGATAGCCTCTGCAAGAATGTACTGGTGCACCAAGATTATATAAAAGTCAGTCCACTTCAGCTCATGGGCCTTGCACAATTGGAGGATATGTGGCATGAGCTGCAATGTTTGAGTTCCTGGATATGTCTAAATAAAATGTTACTATTGCACAGAATGATCACATGCATACAATAATGCCATACTTGTAGGCTTTATTGTATTATTATAAGATTTCAGTGACACGATTAAAATTTAGGGAAGCGCAGTTCTTTTCAACAGGAAAGCTATTAACTTTAACTGTATTTTGCACTTAAGTGGTCATTTGGTTTTATCTGGATACTGAAATGTCATCTCAGTAAATAGTGTTTAAACACTGGATAAAAGATTGAGCACTTTATATTTGATTTCCAAAAGTGAATTTTATGAATATGGCAGTTCACAAGAATCATGTTGTACTTGTACTGTATTGAGATCAGAAGTCAAACAAGTATTTGAAAGTGAAACCCCACATTAAATTACAACTGCTGGCCTATTTAACAACTCCATGAGAAAGATGACACTAGTGCTTGGAATGCAGACGCCAACCACCTCATTTTTGAGACTCTTCAAAGTTGGGCTCTAGGAGGAAAAAAATGTCGTATTAGTTTCATGTTAAGATGCTCAAGTTCCAATACTGCTCATAGATCAACTTCAGGCTCTAGCAGAATATAAACCATGGACCCATTTACTACTTTTAGTGATCTGCAGCTAATTTTGCAAACATGCCATAAAGAGGTGGAGGAAGAAAAGGGACATTTAGCACAAGTTTTTTAAAAGAGTTTCTTCATGAATATGCAATATCTCCTATATGCATTTGATGTTTACCTACAGCCAAGGTAACTTACCTGCTAACTAGCTTGCAACTAGTTTATTAATGGGGTACTACCAGTTTTACCAGCAACAAGAGAAAAGTCTTGCTACCTACCATTGACTCTCGTAAAAAACAATGAGCAGTAAAGTTAAGATATGAGACTTTAAAGTAGTACACAGACTAGATGAATGAGAAAAATTAGTTCTTTCCTGGAGAAAAGACTCCACATTATGATATAGTATAATTTAAGCCACATGGGAAGATTAATCCTAAATGACTCAAAACTGGAAGAGACTGCCTTATGCTAAAGACATTTAGATTGCTTTGTCTGTACTAAGAAAATTAGTCGGCAGGTAAGAAAGTTACTCACTTGACTGTATGAGAAAGGGATAGTTCAGAAAATAGCAACTCTCACAGCAGTATCTCATGTAACTAAAGGGGAACTCCTGAAAGAATTAATAGTCTAGGTCCACCCCATGCAGTAACTGGCAGAATGAAGTTCCAGGCACAGGGGACCTAGTCCTCATGTAGGAATTTCTGATCTTCCTATTCCCTTAGATCACTGTAGAGTCCATGGAGGATGGGGATGATCAACTAATGGCAGATGACAGAGAAGACTTCTGGTGGATTTGGCAGTGACTTCACTACTCACTTTTATCCTTTAAAATAGGTGTTGTGTGACACTAGTTAACACCACCTCTGCTGTTGGTGCCTCTCTGGTGGAATTTTCTGACTGAACCGTCACAGCCATGATCCCCTGAAGTTAATTAACGTGCAGATATCTGTACCAAACCACCCAAGTCTCAACATTATCAAATGACAGCTCTTAGCAAACAGCAATGTTGTGTCACATGGCAGCAGGTACACACTGTCTGTACACTTGACCAAGGCTCATTTCAGGTCTCAGGAATGGACAGAGTGGCCAAATACATCCTCAACAGCAGGAACAATCGCTGCAGGAGCCTTACATGACACTAAGCATACGCTGCTGCCACAAAGTTCCTATTTGCCAACCAGACTGCACATATACCATCCCCAAGAGCAACAGAGTCCTGCTCTCTCCCAGGACCATATGGCTGATTTACCTCCAGGTCACTGGTCACAAAGGCTCTATATTCCACTATTCATCCTCTCACTTTCACACTTATGGTGCAAGAATAAATTAACAAAGGCTGGAGACTCACCCTCAAATTTGAAGTCTGGAAATTTGGTCAGGTCTCCCCCACCATACAACCGCTGAATTTTGGCGATTTCTTCAGCCATGTTTTTCTGGTATTCAGGGCCTACATCAGCTGGACCACCAGCTTTCCTAAATGCAGAAAATGTCCAATGAAAATTTTGATTCTAAACATTTTATACAGCAATTTTATCATTTAAGGGCCTAATCTAAAGAGTAAGATAAATGGCTCTACACTCCCCAAATAAGTAAAGCAATTTAAATATTTTGAAAAACCAGAGGTAGAGAGCGTACCGGGGGTACATTTTTCCCTTCCGGCATTTGAAATCAGACATTTTAGCTTAACTAAAGCTAAAGGAGTGTTTAAAATGGAAAAATGAGAAGCATATTTCTACAAATATTAGCTCGTGTTCCTTTAATAGTGTAAATTCTAAAATCCAATTATTAAGTTGCATTTTTCTAAGTGGCTGTGAATGGAGACTTGGCAACAAGGCATAATTCTGTTCTTAAGCCTTTAAAGTACCTAGACAAAACTTCCTTGAAACATGCTGCTACTATTTTTGAGGCTAATCTGCTGAAAGGGAAGATCAACTTCAAACCAAGTTGTTTAGTAAGAACATTAATACCAGTAGAACGAGGTGAAGAAGTGCCTAGTATACAGGTAACTTGCCACAATTAGGGATGTACTTCCTAGTCTACAAAACTGCACACAAGAGCAGCCCTACAGCCTACTTAATGGAAAACAATGTTTAATACCAAAGTGAAGCATCAATTATGGGTGTTATGTTACAAACACATGCTTATAATCAATAACTAGTTTCTCAATTTGAAAATCCATGTTTTCCCCCAGTGTAATACCAACTTTCTCAGATTTAAGATTTATGTATAGTGACTTGAGTCTTTGAACTAAAATAACTGCGTGGGGGTCTTTGACCACAACAATACTAAAGATATGTAGTTTAGTCATTACACATGAACTCACATTATAATAATTTTAAATAGGAGTAAAATCCCTCAATTAGAATATCATTTTATAATATTTACCAAAAATAAGATCTGCTAAAAAGGAACTGAACTATTTTCTAAGCTTTTAAAAGGGGCTTAGAGGTATTAGGAATCCAATTTCAGTGACTTTCAACTAGAGTTAGGTGACTAACTCCCTTAAGTCCCCTTGAAAATCCCAGTCTAAAGAATGATTACATAAAGAAACAAGTTCACTCATTCCTTTGTCCTTTTTAGAAAATACAGTTATTTGTAGATAGAAAAATAATTGAATTCGGCCACGCCTAATTTTGAAAAAAAATTATTTAAGATTTTTGTCAATTAACTTTTTATTTTTACAGTTGTGGGACACTAGAGGGGGTAGGGCTAAGGTAGCACTGACAGCAAGGCTGCAGGGGGCACCTTTGACAGTGGGGCCAGTGACACCAGATCCCTGCAGGCACACAGACTGTTACTGTTATATTTTTGTGTCTGTTTCAGTATGTCAGCTGCAATTGACATTTACTGACAGTTATCCTTTAAAATTGAGTCCTGAACAAGCCTATTTGCATGTATGGGTGTTACATTTCTACAACTTTCTGTCCACAAGTTCTGTGTTTCATAGCTAACAATTCATGTTTTAGCAAAAACAACAAGGAGTACTTGTGGCACCTTAGAGACTAACGAATTTATTTGGGCATAAGCTTTCGTAACACAGCTACCACTCTGAAACCTGAAGTCATGTTTTAGACATCTAAACATGGAAATATTGAAGCTTTTCCACCAGCTTCAATACAGATTTGATACCTTATGTTACAAAACTTGATAATTTCCCACCCATATGTAAAAACCATTAGGAGAAAAATACTATGAAATTTAGTGATAGTGTTAATACAAACCATATCAATGAATTCCATTAACCTTATTCTGGCCTTAATTATTGCTTTAGTGCAGATGCTGTCCTCACTGCGGTAAAGAGAATGAGGAAATGGTTGCTGCACTGATCAGTTTACAGTCTAAAAACCACAAGAGTATTCCCAGATAGAATCATTAGAAAAAGATTTAACGAATGCAAAGAGCTCTTCAATCCAGTAAGAATCAAAAACTACCCACGGATAGTAAGAGTAGCTACACCTAAGTTTTAATTTTAGTAGACAAACATGAAAAGAACACAAATTTACCTAATGCAATACTTATCTGGTGCCAACTGCAGCTTTAAGAGCTCTACAGCAACTGTAGCTAAATCAGTTGTGGACAATTTCTCTTAATGCTCCAAGAACAACTTCCTCCATCATATTATTCGCGCCCCCCCTTCCCCCCCAGGTTTCTCATTTTAGTTATTTCTCTAAGTCCACCTCTAGAGAATCCCCTACAGCATGACTCATCCTCCATATGGAAGTATTTCTATTTTAAAAGAATAGTTTCCTTTCCCCATCTCAAAGCTAAGACAACTGATAGTTTGGTACAGATATGCTCTTTTTTATTCCTCTCTTTTCACCATTATCACCAAAGAGGACACAATGGAAAAAAAACGCGGGTGGTTTGGACATTTTTTTCTACTGATATTTTGGCTGGGAGGGGCTAACAATAGGAGTGCGGCAGCAATGTTCTTTCACTTGTATCTCCATGATCATCTTTCTTTTGAAAAAGTCTAATCTGTGAAATGGATGCTTACTTCCACTCTGCACCACATTTCACTCCTAATGTTTCACTAAGCAATTCTGCAATAAAAAGGTCTTCAAGCTGAGTTTGACATATTTGAGCCAAGAGTCTGTTTTAAATGAAATTGTAACTTCAGAACACCAGTTCCCAAACGGTGGCTCCCAAACCTTGATGGATGGGAGGCACCGTGACCTAACAATCTTCCAACCCTGGCCCCCAACCAGCCCCTCTCCCGCCCATGGCCTGGCCACAATCACTATCAGGCTGCTGTCTATCCACTGACTGGCTGCAGCCACTTCCTCTAGATTGCAACTGCCTAGATTCCCCTCCACATGCTGCTGCCTACAATCCAGGTGAAATGAGAGCAGGATCCAGACAGCAGCAGCAGAAGCTGGTGAGCAGACAGCAGCCTGGCCCTTGCCCAGTTGCAGGGAGAAAGGGGCCAGCTGGGGCTGCAGATCGGGGCAGAGCTGAAGGAGTGAGAGCTGGATAGGGGGCCTGGATGGCAAGCCCAGCCAGAAGTAGTTGGTGGGTCACCTTAGCAAAAAGTTTGGGAATCACTGCTCTAGAATGTACTACGGAAGTAGCAGAATCAGTACACTGATAAGTTTGAGAGATTTTGTACAAAATGCTAGCATTACAGCATTTATTAAATTGAATGGGTTTGGTCACAGACTAGGAAAATGTTATTAAATCTAAAAACAATCCAAAGTCTATTGCCAGTGAGATTCTAACCAGTTAGTTAGCTCTTTAGCTTGACCACAACCAGCCCTCCTTTAAACATACTGAGCGTCTCCTACACCATTAAACAGCTTTTCTTTTGCTAAATATTTCTAATGAAATTGGAATTTGTTGTTTAAGATAATTTTTTGTTAATGCAAAATCTTTCTACAGGTAACAAATGAATAAAAGAGTTTCTTGATAGGTGAGTAACTGGAGACATTTAAATCAGAGATTCTCTCAAAATGTTGATATTCAAATGTAAAATTTTATTTTTATATTACATGATTTTATGGCCCACTATTTCTAGATGAATTTATTCAATTCTTACATTTTGTTTTTGGAAAGAATAAATGTAATTATTTGAGGTCAGTAAAAAAAAAGGAAAAGCAGTCAATGTTTGCAAAGGACCCTGTTATCTGTTCACATTTTGGATAACTAAACCAACACTCAAAGTTTTATGGCTACTGTTCAATACTCCCTTACCCTCATATGCAGCTATATACAAGTAGTAATATGGACAAAGTCAACTGTAATAACAAACACAATAACTAGTAAAGACTTAAGTCTGAACTTTCTTTTTATTGAGGTGTTCTAGATAATTTTTTCTTGCAAATTATGTATCAAGTGTCAGTCCTCAAGGACTGCATTTCTTTGTGTAATTCTAACATTTCATGAAAGCTTATTTTTGTAACATTCCTCCGTGAAGCACAGATACACCCTTTAACACCTGGGACTGCAGTTGCAAAATAAGGAATTATTTCCTAGCCCACCTTCCTCTGGGCTTCAGAAGTGGAAGAACCATTGACTAGAATTTGTGCTAGGTCAGTACTTGGGGCCTTTCCATGCTGAAGCTACAGACCTAATTATAAGAGGAATAATCTCATATTAATGTTTGCTAAAAGTTTCATATTAATCTTTTTTACTTAATATACTGAATTACATTTATTGCATTCCAATAACTTACTGGCTCTTCATGTTGTATTCTCTGATCTTGTCTATAAAGAGCTTCTGAACTGGATCAAGTTCCTTCGCCTTATTAAACACTATAGCAGAAAGGCCAATGTTCCTACGCAAGTGTATTGAGATGGCAGAGCGGAAAATGGAGGAAAACCTGAATAGCTGTTGGAGAATCATGATGAACTCGCAGAGGGTTTCAGCTAGAAACAAACAGAAAGCATTAAGTTAGCGGTTTCTTGCAGTTTTTTCTGTACTTTACATTTGCAAAAAGAAAAAAAACGTAGATCAGTTAAAAATGTCAACATTATTAAATGCAGGGAAACACCAAGAGAAAGAAATAGTCCAACATTTTTAAATGAAAGAGTGACAATTTTGCTATATCTGAGAAATATACTTTTGCTAGAATGTATCCCCTCATTTGACCTACGATTCATATTTCTTCCACATTAAAATGAATTGTCTGAATAAAAAAGTATATCAAAACAAAATGCTAAAAAAAATGAACTGGACATTTTTATTTGTAGTGCTTAGCAAAGATACCTGCATTTAAGTATTCATTTGGCACAGGACATACTAATTCAAAGACAAAAATAAAGCTGATTAGAAAGTAGGTAGTTTTCATTGAGAATACAACAGGGATGAAGAGTAAGCTAGCAAATCAGAATTATTTGTTTTCATAGAAATACAGTGCTATTCTAAGTCAGAAATGTGTGATCTTTAAACCAACAATGAACCTTTTAAGAAAATATGACAACACTGACTGACATTTACATGGATCATATTCATATGACCACAAGCCAAGTTTTGTGTTTCTATTTGTAAGTTAACTAGTACTAAAAGGGAAAGATTTTAAATGATAGTCTCAACAATCTCAAAGTTAAAAGGCAGAGTTTGCAGGTAAAGCACCGAAGGAGGAGTTTTATACTTAGCCCAACAGGTAACTACCCTGTGGGGCGCTGCCCGACTAGACGCGAACCGGTTGTTTAAACCCGTCGCCGAGCCGGGTTACCCCGCGGAACCGGCTACTTTGCCCACGCAGCCGAGCGGCCACGGGGCGGAGGGAACGAGCAGGCCGGGGCCAGCCCCGCTCGGGGCGAGGCATCTGCTGCTGACGGGGAGACACAGGGTGGCCCAGCCCCGGGAAGGGCCGGGGGTGGCGGGGCCGGAGGCCGAGGCGAGCCCGTCCCGTCGCGGAGACCGTGGCCCGGCCGCAGGGACTTTCGTCCCCGAGCAGCCAGGCCCGTCGCCGGGCGGGGAAGCGACAGGAGCCGCGGCCGGGGCGCCGCGGCCGCCGCTCCCTGCCCGACCGCAGCTCCCTCCCCCCGACCCAGCGGCGGCCGCGGCGCGTTACAGGGGACGGCGGCGGGATCCCTCCGCCTGGCTCCGGCTCCAGTCACCTTGGGGGGGTCACGGCACCGAGCCCAGCGCGCGGTGCACCCTGGGAAGCCCGCCCCGGTGGCAGAGAACTCTGGGGACCGCGCTCCTCGCGTGCCTGCCCCGCCCCCGCGGGTAACATGGCGCCCCCCGCCGCCAGTTAAACAAGTACCTAGAGCCGCCGCGCCCCGACGGAACGACCCAATAACAATCCCAAGCCACCGCCGCCACCAGCAGCAGCAGCACCGCTAACCACTCACCACCGGAAATGAGCAGATCTACTTCCGAGCCAGAGAAACCTAGGCCATTAATCCGGCCGTTAAGTCTCAGCGAAGTCCCGCCTCCTGCGCCCGCTGATTGGCGGGTGGAAGGTGGCGCCGTGGGGGATGCCGGGAGTTGTAGTCCTTGCCCTTGTCTGTGGGGGGGTGGTTCTGTTCGCGCTCCCTCCTCGCCTGGGCCCTGCACAGGCCTCGCCGCCCAATCCTCAGCGCGTTCCGCTCTCCTCAGTGCGGCGCTCGGAAGGCGGCGTAAGGACCCTGCGGAGCCGCCGCTAGCGAGTGGGGCGCGGGGGAGTCGTGCGGGCCGCTCCGGTCGGGGCGGGAGTTTCTGCGGCGGGTGAGTGAGGCGAGCGGGCCGGGGGGCCCGGGGCGCCCGAGGGAGGGGCGGGTGGAAGGGAAGCGCCGCTCTCCGTATCCGGGGGAGGGGGGCTCGGGCCTGGCTGCGGCTCGTGTTTTGTTTCCGTTTCTCCCCGGCGCAGCGAGTCTCATTTCCGTTTCGGGTTCAAACAACAAGGAGGGAGGCGGCGGGGCCAGGGGCGAGGGGCCGGGAGCAGCCTCCCCTCGCGGGCTTTGTGCAGTCCTGGGGGGCGAGGGCGTCCCCAGGGCGCAGCGTTGCCCGCTGCCGCAGGCTCGGTCCCGTCACATGGCGGCTGTGGGGCGCCGGGGGAGGCCCGATGCTCCCAGCCAATTGCCCGGGAAACCCGCCCGCCTTGTCCCCCTTTCCCCCAGGCAGGGGGAGGCCTGGCTGTTGTCGCAACTACTGAGCCTGGCTGGCGGGCCCTCTGCTCCCCGGGAGTCCATTGTCCAGTCCCCATCCCGAGCTCTCGCTGGCTCCCTCCCAGCTACATCAAAGACCCGTCCCCGCCGGCGGGCAATAAACACGCTTCAGGCGCCCCGCACCTCTCCGCCCCGCGCTGTGTCAGTTCAGTCATGAAGGGGAAAGTGTGGCGATTGCCCGCGATTGTTGTTGTTCTGGGCGCAGCATACGCAATTGTGTCCACTGTGGACGCTGTTGTAAATCTTCTAGTTCTACTTGTTTTCTGGGACATCCTCTTAAAATTTTGTGCTGACTTTAGCTACAAGTGAATCATAAGATCAGTGTAACGGAACAAATGCAAAATGTTGTTTCTTGGTTTCTGTTTTGCTTCACTCTTGTGTGCATTAATCAGTACTTTGTTTTATAGTCAATTTCACTGGTATGCACTAGGTAGTCACCTTTCCCCATTCACACTTGTTTTTGTGTGCCATGCACTACAGTACTGGGAGAGGAAAACATTTTAAAGCACAGTAAAATATGACTTCAAGACCACGAAGATTGGCCCAGGCAGTCAAAGGCACAGAGTTAATGTTAACTAAAAATTTACTTGGATTTCAGTTTGATTGTACCCTTTCACATCCATTGTTTCCAATCTATGTAAATATTTAAGGTAATGTGCTGCTAGAGATTCATGGCTTATATAGCAGAGGGAACCGATTGGTTACTTTGTTCTCTGCTCACAGTTATTGGGCACAGAAACACTCACACTAGTCTGTTTCACAATTACTTGTTTGTATTTGCAAAAAGAACAGGAGTACTTGTGGCACCTTAGAGACTAACAAATTTATTTGAGCATAAGCTTTCGTGGGCTACAGCCCACTTCATTGTATTTGTATCCTTATTCCAATACTTATATTCTAATAGCACTAAGAGACTCTAGTTATGATTGGAGCACCATTTGTTCTGATTTTTTTTTTATTATAAACAGAAGCGCACCTAATGCCAAGCTTTGGGCACCTTGACAGTTTCTTAAAGTATACTTCACTAACACAGACAGACTATAGCAATTACCCACAGATCACAATAACCGGGCTGCAGCATAAAACAAATGTAATACCCTCCCCTTCCCCCCCGCCCCCAACAGAATTACTGGTCATCCTCCTATCACTACCCAGCCATGCCCTTCTCTGTAAATCTTTATGTTCTGTGGAGAAAAAGAGATGCCTTGAAGTCTGTCCTGGAGGTTAACTAAGCGGTTACAGGACACCCTGCTAGCAGCCTCCTCTCTCTTGTACCGATGGGTGATGGGGGCATTGTCTAGCTTAGAAGCCTCTGCTTTCCACAACTGTGGCAATGGATCACAGTGATAGAAGAAGTCTCTTGGATAGCTACGTCCCAGGCCATTAGGGTTTTCCAGGTCAAACAAAATCTTAAAATGAAGAAGCCAATGGACTATGATCTAGACCGCTTGAGTTCAGGTTTGATGTGCTCACAAAAAGAAATGCTGCTTAACAAGCCAGCTGCTGAATTCTGCAGCTCCTAGGTAGATTTAAGGCAAAGATAAACATAAGTTTTAATTTCTTTGGCTATTAATCTAATGCTGTCCTCACTTTGGAGAAAGATTAAAAATGATAAATAAGAAAAACCGCCCAAAAGAATAGTTTGACACTAACATACTGCACAAATTAGGTGATCATACCACATGCATTTTCATCTACATGCATTGATCATTGAACTTGGTGAGAGATAAGAGACCTCAGATGGAAAATCTTTTGTTTATTAGGTGTTTTGTAGATTAATACTGAATACATTCACCTATAAGAGGTAACATAATTTTAAAAAAATAGCAGAAATAGATGACATATTTAATACAATATATTTTTAGAAAAAGTTTTATAGCTGTCAACAGCTTTCATATTTCTTCCAAGGACAGTATGTAATACAAATGGGACAACAAAATCTCTCAAGTATTTTTAAAACAATTTGAAATTTAAATGTTATCATCCAATGAAAAGTAAACCTGACCAGTTCATACAGCATCCAGTAAGTGTAGAAGCCTCCAAAGGAAGAGAACAAAAGCTACCTGATTTAGTTGGGAATTGGTCCTGCTTTGAGCAGGGGGTTGGACTAGATGACCTCCTGAGGTCCCTTCCAACCCTGATATTCTATGATTCTACCTCAGGATGTATGATTTCTGCACCTATATGTCTGTTTAAATTCCTGAATTTGCCTCCTCCCAGAAAAAAACAAAACCATCAACTTACTACTTCCATTTGCCAGAACAAGTATTGTCAACTGCTTTGTGGTTTCTGCATCACCCTTCCATTTTAGAGCTGTGTAATTGGCTTTAGAGTTTGCAGCTGAAAACATTTTTGGTAAATAGTATATGGAATTAACAAATTATTTTTATGTGAAACTATAATGCTCAAATTTTGCTTCCCTATAATTCATGAAACTACTTTAACAATTTTTCTTTTGCAGGCCTGTTTTTGAGACTTTTTAGCCATGACTAAAAGAGATGCAGAGGAGCTGATAGAAATAGAAATTGATGGGACTGAGAAACAGGAGTGCACTGAAGAAAGGTATGTGCTTACGATCAATCAGTATTGCTTACTGCACCTCTACCCTGATATAACACGACCTGATATAACATGAATTCGGATATAACGTGGTAAAGCAGTGCTCGGGGGGGGGCTGTGCACTCCGGCGGATCAAAGAAAGTTCGATATAACGTAGTTTCACCTATAACGCGGTAAGATTTTTTGGCTCCCGAGGACAGCGTTATATCGGGGAAGAGGTGTACTTGTGTCACTTGAGCTGAAAATAGTTTACAGTTTTTATCATATTTAGGTCCTGCTCCTATAGAAAGCAGTCTGTCTTGTCATTGTATTCAGTGGGGAGAAGACTGAGTTCTTATTTAAGAACATAAGAATGGCCATACTGAGTCAGACCAATAGTCCATCTAGCCCAACAGTAGCCAATGCCAATTGCTTCAGAGGGAATGAACAGACGAGGGCAATTATCAAGTGATCCATCCCCTGTTGTCCAGTCCGATCTTCTACCATTCAGACTTATGGACACCCAGAGCATGAGGTTGTCCCTGACCATCCTGGCTAATAGTCTTTGATGGATCCATCCTCCATGAACTTATCTAATTCTTTTTTGAACCCAGTTATATTTTTGGACTTCACAACATCCGGTGGCAATGAGGTCCACATGTTGACTGTGCATTGCATGAAGAAGTACTCCCTTTTGTTTATTTTAAACCTGATGCCTATTAATTTCATTCAGTGACCCCCTGGTTCTTGTGTTAAGTGAAGGGGTAAAAAAACACTTACCTATTTACTTTCTCCACACTATTCATAATTTTATAGACCTCTATCGTATCCCCACTTAGTCATCTCTTTTTCTAAGCTGAACAATCCCAGTCTTTTTAACCTCTCCTTATATGGAAGCTATTCCATACTCTTAATGGTTTTTGTTGCCTTTCTCTGTCCTTTTTTCCAATTCTAATATATCTTTTTTTGGTATGGGTCAACCAGAATTGCATGCAGTATTCAAGGTCTGGGTGTACCATGAGTTTATTTAGTGGCATTATGATATTTCCTATCTTATTATCTGTCCCTTTTCTAATGGTTCCTAACATTGTTAGCATTTTTCACTGTTGCTTCACATTGAGCAGATGTTTTTAAAGAACTGTCCACGATGACTCCAAGTTCCATTTTTTGAGTGGTAACAGCTAATATAGACCTCATCATTTTGTACGTATAGTTGGGCTTATGTTTTCCCTTGTTATTACTTGCATTTATCAACATTGAATTTCATATGCCATTTTGTTGCCCAGTCACCTAATTTACTGAGATCCCTTTGTAACTCTTCTTAGTCAGCTTTGGACTTAACTATCTTGAGTGATTTTTGTATCGTCTGCAAACTTTGCCATCTCACTCTTCACCCCTTTTTCCAGATCAATTACGAAAATGTTGAACAGGACTGATCCTATTACAGTTCCTTGGTGAACCCCCCCCCCCCCCGCTATTTACCTCTCTACACTGTGAAAACTGACAGTTTATTCCTACCCTTTGTTTCCTATCTTTTAACCATTTACTGATCCATGAGAGGACCTTCCCTCTTATCCCATGACTGTTTACTTTGCTTAAGAGCCCAAGGTGAGGGACCTTGTCAAGGGCTTTCTGAAAGTCCAAATACACAATATCCACTGGATCATCCTTGTCCACGTTTGTTGACACCCTCAAAGGGTTCTAATAGAATGGTGAGGCGTGATTTCCCTTTACCAGTGTTGACTCTTCCCCAACATATCATGTTCATCTGTGTGTCTGATAATTCTGTTCTTTATTATAGTTTCAACCACTTTGCCAGTTAATGAAGTGGGGTTTATCAGCTTGTAATTGCCAGGGTTGCATAGGGAGCCTTTTTTTAAAATTGGTGTTGCATTAGCTATCCTGCAGACATCTGGTACAGAGGCTGATTCATATACTGCAGTTAGTAGTTTTACTATTTCATATTGGAGTTCCTTCAGAACTCTTGGTGAATACCATCTGGTCCTGGTGACTTATTACTGTTTTATCAGTTCGTTCCAAAACCATCTCTATTGACCCCCT